AACAATCCGACAGATTGGCTACGTTCAGACTGCAGGACTTAATGCTCAATTCAGATTTTTTTGTGAAATCTGATTTTTTACGAGTTTGTTCCCATTTCCACTTAAATGTGACTTGTATGTGATCTACTGTGTGAACTTCATACGACCCAAAAGTGTCCCTCATGCGCAGAAGAGGACACGACGACGTCACACGCAGCGAGCATGCTCAGTGTTTACGGAAGTAAACCATAGATATGTATAATAAAGATCTCGTCCGCACTGCCAGCCAATGGAATTGCACGGCCACACTGGCGGCCATCTTGGTACGGTCCGCTCGCTCACCCATAACATTGTATTGTAGTGTTGCATGTACTTTTTAAATAACCATAACTTGCTCAATTTTCTACCGATTTTCAAACAGTTTGGTTTGTTATAGACGTCAGAGATGTAGTTATAACACTGCACTTACGGATAATTATGTTACACTCACGGCCAGCAACAATTAGTATTTTAATCATTTTGTATTTTATTTGTATTTTTGTAATTTGAATTGTAGCCACGTTGTTTGTAAGAATCATATCTATGAAGTAAGCATGGATAGTAACATTGGAGCGTATCTTGCTCACCACTCCTCCCACCACCGCCGATAGTGGAAACAGAACTGTTACCGCGAACTAAACCGGCATCAGCAGCCAAGTACTGCCTGTGCATTCCGGCCACTTCCACCCCGTTGGAGCGCTCCGACGGGGTGGAAGTGACCGGAACATGTACAATTGCACCGGTCAATTAGGCGTGAAATCCAGCGATGCGTAGTGTTCTAACAATACACTAGTTATTATAACAACTATAAACAACAAATATTAACAACAAACGACCCTTAGAGCATCAAGCCCTCCTTGTATCTCAACCTCCGTTTTGACAATCCGACAGCCTTGCTATCCGACATAAAAGAAGGCTTTACATTTAGTGTTGGATTATCAAGTCACGACTGTATATTGCTAACACTTTGTGTTGTCACAGTCAGTTAAGAGCATTCATTACCGTTCCATCTGTACTTTTTGTCTCTGCAGGGCGTCCTACTCCGGCTACTCCAGATCCAAGCCTGAATACAGAGGAAGAGACTANCATGCGCAGAAGAGGACACAACGACGTCACATGCAGCGAGCGTGCTCAGTGTTTGCAGAAGTAAACATGGATAGTAACGGTGGAGTGTATCTGGCACTCCCCATAACTAAACCGGCATCCAAGGCAGCCAAGTACTGCCTGTGCATTCCGGCCACTTCCACCCCAGGGGTGCGCGCAGACGGGGTGGAAGTGGCCGGAATTTGCACAATCGCACCGGTCAATTAGGCGTGAAATCCAGCGATGCGTAGTGTTCTAACAATACACGAGTTATTATAACAACTATAAACAATAAATATTAACAATAAATGACCCTTCGAGCATCAAGCCCTTCTTGTATCTCGACCTCCGTCTTCACAATCCGACATGAAAGAAGGCTTTACATTTGGTGTCGGATCATCGAGTCACGACTGAATATTACTAACAGTTTGTGTTGTCACAGTCAATTAAGAGCATTCGTTATCATCACAGCTGTACTTTTTGTCTCTGCAGGGCGTCCTACTCAGGCTACTCCAGATCCAAGCCTGAATACAGAGGAAGAGACTATGTTGATGAGTAAGTGTACTACATATATTATATGACACCTTTTTTACTGGTTGCTTCACAGTGCAAATATAGTAGAATGTAAACATGTTACAAATTAAAGCAGTCGTACAGAACATTAAAAAGTACTTAAAATGAGTTCTGCTCTGACCGACTACAGCAGTAACATGCAACACACACACATCAGTGCCTGAGTTATAATAGCCCAGTTACATCGTATATAATAACTAAACTTGCAATACATTTGATAGAAGCCATTATATTAATAAAACTAACATACTCTTGCGTAAAGAGCGTTTTAAATGTAGGGCTAATCCTTGTGGTGTAGCGTTTTTTATATTGCAGCTTCATTTGTGAAGAAAAGGATCTGAAAGCTTCCTAAAGCACAGCTGTAGTCTGTAAAATGACCAGAAGTGCAAGTTTCCTGGAACCTAAATGGCACAGAACTAGTTATCAAATTCCTTGCTGTTTAATTTCCTCTCAAAATCACACTAATTCGCCCAAAAGGAGCAGCACTGCAGTTGTGTTCAGTCATGATTTAAATGTGAACAATGAACGTGAGCGTCTTTGTTGCTTAGCCAACGTTCCAGCTGTTGGAACCAGTGGTAGATCCAGACTGACAGCTTCAAAGGTCACATTTGGTAACAGCAGTTTGTTATCAGGTATTCTGTTGCATGATTCCTCGTCTTCTTCTTTTGTAGACCCTACACGTACAGCTCGCCGTCCACCTACAGAACCTCCTATTTGAAATCAACGCCCACGAAATCGGATCAAGAAGCTCCAAAGTCGCCCCGCCTCATCCCCCTGTGGGTTCAGTTCGTGTTCTTCCTGGTTGTGGCCGTCTTCCTTTACATAGTTTTTTCCAATATGGAGGCAAATGAATCCTTCAAAGGGATACAATGATTTTCTTTTTAATTCATGCTAAAAGCTACTTTATTTTTGCATTTTAATTTGAAGAATGTATCTCAGTTATCGGGCTGCACAGTGGCTCGGTGGTTGCCACTATACTTACCCGTGCTTTTAGGTAGAATTGAGAGCTTCAGCGCAGCATCACTTTAAAAACACACTACATCCTTCTTAGTCTTACCTGCAGAGCAACGGTCGGTCCATCCAGATGGTTTCAGCGTGAACTGTTGAGGTTTTAGAGGTAATCAGTCAGTTTACTCCAACTAATAAGCCGTAGTCGCACAGAAAATATCCACAGATTTCTCAGATATCACACTAAGATGTCTCATATTTCGACACTTGATATTTGGGTTTTTGTTTGATACACGAAGCGCCATAAACCGCAAAAAAAGGAGTCCAGTCCACTCCAGTGTATTGTGCTGAGCTTTGGACATTTATATCAAATCTCTGCAGTTCAGTCTGTCTGTCTGCATGGGGACATTCAGGTGATACTGTTTTATTCTCCATATCCGGTCTGTGATGGGCTAATATCATTTCATATTCAAACTGGACAGCATACATACGATACTCAGAACATAGTTCAAATCTCAGATTGCATCAGCTGCATTTCAACATGTTTTAACTGGTTTGTAGTTTTTTCTTAGTACAGCAAATTCATTGAATACAATTTGAATCCATATTTCAAAATAACAAAAACACCCGTACTTGTGGCACAGTTTTCTAATCAATCTGTATCAAAAGATCTGTTTATCATAAAAAAACAAAATTTTTTCCAGCTATACTACTTGGAAATAATTGTATTTATAAGTCTGTTATTCATTCACTGTGTATTTTTAATGTAAAGATTTACCAAATTCTTGTAGTTTCCATGAACTTAGTTTACAACTGTGCTTCCCTTTTTCTGTTATCAGACAGATTTCAGACCAGCTGTAACACAAGTGCCTCAGTTTTTGTGGGAGTAATTGGAATATAGTTGTTCTTGTTTTTCAGTGTTAAATTAACAAAATAGGCACAGAGTTTCTGGGTGAAAATATATTTCAAAAACAAGCTGTAATGCCATGCTTTGTTTCAGTATAATCAGCTCAGATGTCACACTTTTGTACTACATGATCCAGCATTTATATCCCACCAGTTTGTTGTGATTTGTTTTGTATTGCTGTTTCATAATTAAAAATATGAAATGTATATGTAAACATTTGAGGTTTCAAGTAATTTATTCGAGAACAAGAATATTTTAAAAAATGTTAAATAACTTCGGGTATAAAAAAAAAATAAATGAAGCAAATTCTGCGTTGTGTTTAAAGCGTTTTTTCATGTTACGAGGTTTGGACTTGTGCTAGAAAATCCACTGTAAGTACATGCAGGAGTAGATTGTCAAATGTCTTGGACACAAAACTCATTGAACCCAGAGGCTCCAACAAAAGCAGCATTTTAATCAACTACAGCTTCTACTTACACACTTTAGTGCATTAATGTACATACTGTTAATGAAGTACGATGCATAGCAGTGTTAGACTTGAAATACAAAAATGTCCTCTGATCCTTTAAGGATCATTGATCTGTGGGCGAGTATATAATTAGCTAGTGGAGCTTGTTATTAGTGTTGCTTGTTAATGAAAACAAAACAATGTTACTAAACTGACACAGAGACCTGAGGAACCCATGTCACAGTTTCCCCATTGTAGCTGTTAGTAGCAGTTTTTCCCACTCGGTGGTCACGGCAGTAGCCAGGTCTGAGCGAACGTGAGGTCTGGCTTGAACCATTGCTGACTGAACTACCGACAGCTTCTCCTGTCTGTCAGGCTGTGGCTGTACATCTCACCTTAACACGGGGCTAGTTAGCCGACGATATCCAGCAGTAACACTAGCCTGAAGTTTGGTATGAAAGAATATTGCAATGCAGTCTTTAGTCTGGTGTGTCGACTCGTCCAGACCGAACAGAACTGGTTCCAGCCGTTTCCAGCGGTGCGGTGGATGACCAACCAAACCGCTTGGTTCTCCTGCCGTCTGGATCCATGTAGGGCTCACAGTGAACCCTCCGACTGTCCACGCACTTGTGATTCTGCTTGAAAGGAAAAACACAAAATGACACAATTAAGAACGTGGACACACACAAATACCGTAATGTCTGGACTATAGGACTATAAGCTGCTACTTTTTTCACATGCTTGGAACGCTGCGACTTAAACAATGATGCGGTTAAGTTATGGATTTTTACGAATTTGCCTCGAGACGAAAGTGACATTGAGAGCGACAACAAAAGAGAGACTGAGGAAGCGCGAGACGAAGTAATTCTGAGGCTGTTCAATTCCGACACTGAAGAAGACGACTTTAGTGGTTTCAGTGCACAGGAGGAAGATGAAGAAAGCGACTTTTCCTGGTAGGCTGCTGTATTTTTTATTTTCTTAACCAGCCGTGTTACAGGCACTGTTTGGAAAAAAAGCATTTCCGGTACGTATTTGTGTATGTTACTGGTACGTATTTGATTAAAAGCAAAAAAAAATCTTTCTGTGTAAATCTCTCAGGTTACAACGTGGACGCCTGCAGCTTATAGACAAGTGCAGCCTGTATATGTACACATTTATTTTTCTTTGTAAAGTTAGTGGGTGTGGTTATATTCAGGTGCGCTTAATAGTCTGAAAATTGTGGCAAGTTAAATTTTATTGTGCCCGTGTTCGATAAATCTGCTCCCCTGTGGAAGTCTTCTTGTTGTAGAACCAATATCAAAGAGGCTCTAAGGAGCAGTGTGCAAGATTTGTGCATCTTCATTATTAAGGATCATTCCCAAAATTATTCATAATAATAGAACTATTAATGAATGATCGATGCATCAGGGTGACTAATTTGACTTTAACAAAAACACATGTATCTGTCATTTCAGACCATTAAAAAAAGCGTGCAAAGTCAGCTCCATGACAGCCGTGGTTAAGGACGCACACTGCTGATGAGGCTGTTTTTGGACACGAATCTACAAAAGAAATTACTTTTAACATTAGTGACAACAGATTCCTTGAAGTGGTCTACAGTCGTCTTCAAATGTATTCATACCTTTCCATTAAAGAAAAGGCAAAACATACACATTTGAGGACGACTGTATGCTAATGACAGATCTTCATCCTGTTTAACAGGTCACAGCTCAAGCATCACGGGTGCAACCAGCTGCTTTTAGAGGTCATGTAATTACTATAGTTAACTGGAGATCACCTGTGTCTAGTCAGAGGATTACAGTGGAAATACATCTGTTGGTTGACGGTGCAACTTTTACGAGGTCAGTATCGTGGCAAGAGAGTGATGATTGAGAAGCACAAGTCAGGGACATTTTTAAAAAATAGATATCGTACTACTAAGGCACTGACCTGCAACACCTTTATGTATCTGTTGCCTGCATCCCCCATCATAGCTTGTTAATCGATAAGGCGACATACGTGTTGTCCACACCTGTAAACAGAAGCACACTTGTCACTCTGGGTACACACAGACACACACACAAGGACATCTTTTTTTTGTCTAAAGCTTGAAGGCCTCTGATGCAAACGGGAACTTACAGGTTCTGGTCTCTCGCTCCAGTTCAGAGGGCTTCTTCTCCTTGTTACACAGCACCTTGGCCACGACGATTATAATGATGACAGCTACAACAAATGTCAGGCCAGACACAAGCCAGCTGATCACCATCGGACTAAGGACTGGATCTGGGTCTGAGAGGGAGAGGAGTTATCTGTAAGTTTCCTTCAGGATGGTTTTTTTTATCTACTGCTTCTCTACTCTGTTCAACTCAGCCTCACCTCTGATGGCTATAGGCAGGGGTTGGCTTTCTCTGGAGACGAAGGTGCGTCCGCCCAGCTGGACCCGGTACAGGCAGTAATAGTAGCCCTCGTTGGAGCTCTGGGCGCTGGGGAAGGTGAAGGTGACGGACGGCGTCAGGGCGGGCAGAGACTGGCGCACCGTGCCGTTGGAGCGGATCAGACGGAGCTGGAATGAGCCTCCGGGGTACTGCTGGGGGGTGGAGCAGGTGATGTTAAAACTGTGGCCTTTGATGACGGAACCAGCCGGGGCCTCAGTGGACGTGTTGTACCAGTGTTGGGGGGTTAAGAGTTCAACTGTCAATTAGTCAAAGAAGAAGAAAATGGGTTATTCAAGGTTGTATTTTTTTAAAAATGAAAAAAACAACACAAGAAAAAAGCCTCCTCTCTCTCTTTTGAAATGTTTCTTTTTGAGGTCATTTTGTTTCACTTTGTGGTCACTTTGTGTCTTTTTGTGGTTGTTTTTTGTCTTTTTGTGTCTCTTTGTGTCTCTTGGTGGGAGTTTTGTCTTTTTGTGGTTGTTTTTTGTCTTTTTGTGGTCTCAGTTTTAACTGGTACTGAACCCTATCATGCAAACATCATAACAGAGGATCATCTGATTACTGGTAGGGATGCACGATATATCAGGGACCACATCGGTATCGGCCCATATTATTGTTTTTTTAATATATCAGTATCGGTCTGATGAACACATTTAGCCGATGATTGTCTAACATTAGCGCTTTCGTCTCTACATTTGATATTGCTGCTATTTCACAGATGTTTCTACTGAAATGGTCCTGGACTTGAACGTTATATTTGTTAAAATATGTTTTACTTTTGTTACGAAATAAAGACTATGTGGTCTAATTTCTTCTTTTGAATAGTTTTCATGTTCTCACAGTGCTTGCTTATACTCATTTTTCGGTGTGAACAAAAATTGAATATCGACATCGGTAATATTGGTTATCGGCGATATCAGAAATCTTAATATCGGATATCGGTATCGGCTAGAAATTTTATTATCGTGCATCACTAATTACTGGATCCCAAGTTAGGTTTTTGCAGATTAATGTTCTAGTTATTTCTATTAAGCGATAACCAGTTTAAAAATGAAATGCGTTACTTCCTCTCTCTAATCATTCTTTATTCTCGAGCAACACACAGCTCTGTCTCATTGTTTACACAGCAGACACTGCAAGACCCAAACTGTTCAATAACAATCAGTCGATTTCACAGTAAACAGAGAAGAGCGTCCTAAAGTCACATGACACTCTGACATTATCAGTCCCATTTCTAATATTTACATTCAGTTACAGTAATTCAAATTATTGAAATAATGCAGTTATAAATGACAGGCTCCCTGCTATCTCATGCTGGTAATAGAGAACATTTATTGTGCCATATATCAGTTTTCCTTGATTACCAATAATTAGTATTTTGAAAACAAAAGCAAAACAAAACCCAACACCTCATAGTCAAAACCTAATTTCACAAAACATTCTAAACTACGATAGCCATTTCACCCATCTATGATGACTCTAACATGTTCTCTAATTATTAACCGGCTTGAGTAGGGCTGAGCAATCGTCCGCATTTTCACAGTCATCAATCTGACCTCCAGGAGGTTAGAAAAGTATAAGGTGGGGCTCAAATACTGCACGCTAACACAGATAGCCTTAAACAGATTGCACAATACAATAAGGTGCACGCAATGTGGTGGTGCAATGGAGTTAATGTGGGTTAGACAAAGCAGTTGTGACTCACCCACAGTGATGTTGATGGAGTTGCTGGGCGGAGAGCTGAGCAGCTGAGATGGAAAGCCACCCTTGATCCTGTACCGACAACTATAGCTGCCCTGGTGGAAAGTCTCTATGTCGGACAGCGTGAGCTCCACTCTGGTCTGAGTCTGGTCGGCTCGCTGCGTGACCAGCGGCGTGGACACCCCGTGCTTGTACAGGTGGAAGTCGCTGAGGTGGTGACCGAGCAGAGCGCTGCAGCTGAAGCGAACAGCCTCCCCGGGAGAGAACACAGTGTGAGGTGACAGCAGGGTGAGGGTGGGTGTTAAAAGGGTACCTGGGAGTAAATATAGGTTAATTACAAAATGTGAGGAGGATCTGATCAACTGTGCTCTTCTTGGTATCACTCTGAGATGCGACATGTGTTGTCTGAGACATGCAAAACTACAGGATAACAAATGCACTTTTCTCAGCTTCTCTAATAATATGTGTGTATTCAAATCTACTTGTCCAGGTTATAAATCTGCCTGATTTCCAGTTTTGTCTTTAAATCAAGAATGATATTTTCAAGGGTTTATTTAAATGGAGCCAACAACAACACCACCTGCCATGTCTTCTACATCACCAGGTTTTTGCATTTGTCTAATTTGTTATTTAAAATACTGAGTCAACCCCTTGAAGCTGCTCCTCCAGGAGATCAAATGCTTCACCAGAGTGTTTTACTCACCTGAGCATTTCACGCCTGCGTCGTCCTCGTGGGTGCAGTACGAGTTACCGTGGAGGACGACGGCGCATCGTGTCAAACTGGACTCGTGTCCGGAGCACTGGACGTGACGCAGCCAGATCTCCCCAGTGCCTGCACCAAACGCTGCCCCATGAAGGGCAGATTCAGCTAAACCGCAACCCAGCTCCAGGCACACCACGTCGGCCTCCCGGAGGTCCCATGCATGGTCGCACACAGTCCCCCACTGGTCGTGGCGGAGAACCTCGACTCTGCCCGAGCACTTGTTGTCCCCATCTACTAGTCTGACCGCCCCTGTGGATCAGAAGAAAATGACTTAGAGACACTGGCACTGATTTAAGCTTGAGTGGTTTTGAAAAACCGCTAAACCATTACTCATAGGTGCAACAATGCCTCCAATAAGATCAGGTCTGTTTTGTCCAGCGTTGGGTCTTTTTTCAGTCCCAGAATATGAATATAAATCATAAGCTCACACGAACACTGACTGTTTTGTGGAAGCGTAATTATCTCAGCCACACACACACACACAATGCTGTGGCCTGTGTTGTGCATGTGCTGACTTTGCAGGTAATGATAGCCAATGAAAAGCTGCTCTACAGGAAAATGATTTTGAATTGAAAGTTTTCCTTTACAATAATAATTTCCATTCCCATAAATGGATGCAGAAAAGGCACAAATTGGTGCATGAAAATGTACAGGTATGCAGGAAATAAAGTGACTGATGCTCATGAAGAAGGAGAACTCTGTGACTGATGTGCCTCCCCTCCAATGTTTAAACGAAGCCTACAGGCTCATTGCTTGGACACACGAAGCACAGAACAAGCTGTGGATGCAATAAGTGTTTAACAGTGGCTTTGTTAGGGACGGTCATCCAAAGCTATAGACCTACATTTTTCAAGAACGGCCTGGGGTCTAATTGTCTTTGTTTTTATTGTTTGTTTTTTAACTAAAGAAAAATTTAAATTAAAAAACAGCTGTGGGTCAAGTCATGTCATTCATATCCCATGTTAAAGCCCTCAAAAATATTATGACACAGTTGATCAAAAATGTGTTATTTTATTGTTCATAAGCATCTGATGCATTTAGTAAAGTGAAACTATTTTCATAAATGTATATATTTACATGCCATGTAAAGTGTTTAATTATTAGAGATTTTTCTACTTGACCGTCTCACAGTCGAATAACTGCAGCAGTGACAAATAATGTGTGCACAGATGCTTCTTTGAAACTCCCTATGAAACATATAATCGCTAATCATTCATTACCAAACTATGGCAACAGGTCACTTGGAACAAATACAAACACAATTTATTGTTTTATAATAAGTTGTTGTGGTCAGATAAGCTATCATTACCATGTGGACAGAATGTTCAGTATTTTTTTGTCAGTGATTCAATTAGCAGATAAGATTGATTATTATTATTAGTTATTCAGTTTTGTGCAGTGAGACTTGATGCGTGAACTTCCTCCTCCCATCAGCACCTGCATCTCTTATCCTGTTCTGGTAGATTAATCATAGCAACTGGACTTGCTTGAGTTCCTTGAAAACGTTTCACCTCCCATCCAAGAAGCTTCATCAGTTCTGGAGCTCTGGGAGCAACAAACCCTCCAACTGAAACCGAAACTCAGGTGTTAATGGTGTTCTTGAGGATATCTGGAACTCCCAACTAGTCAGTCAAAACTGATGAAGCCTCTTGGATGAGAGGTGAAACGTCTTCAAGGAACTCAAGCAAGTCCAGATGCTACGATTAATCTACAATAATAACCATGACCTGGATGACTGAGAACCTTCACAGAAGAGAGGAGAGGATAAACTCACCCTGTCTGAGCAGAGAGTCGCCGCTATTGTGGGTGACACTGCTGTCACAGCGGTGATAGGAGCACACGTGGGTCACTCAGATCACCCCCCAAGGTAAATATATATTGTACAACTCATAAATTTGTTCATTATACGGCTCATACAATAATCTGCTCACAGCCAAACAAGATACAGGTTCATGCATAATCATGCCAGGATATCAAAGAGGAAATCAAAGACTTTGTCTCGTGTTTAAATACTCCAGAACTGATGAAGCCTCTTGGATGAGAGATGAAACGTCTTCAAGGAACTCAAGCAAGTCCAGTTGCTACGATTATTCTACCAGAATAACCATGACCTGGATGACTGAGACCCTTCACAGACCTCTCTTATCCTGGACTACCTAAGCGGGTCAGTCACTTACATTACAATTACATGAAAATCATAAAAACAAGTATTTCCAAGGCACACCTTCACATATGCTGTTATGTAAAGCTCACTGTGCACTCATTCATTCAGTTAAATCAGTCACAGCCCTGAACCACAGGATATACCAGATATCACATCGTTCACCTGCTTCAGATTTCAATAACAGTATTTACAGTTAATAAATTTAGTTTACTGTAATTCTGCACGAAGTACTCACCTTAAACGTTAACACACATATATATAGTTGTAAGTAGGTAAAGTCTTATTTTCCACCTGTTGCCCTTGAGTTTAATTTTGTGTAACTGCGTTGAGATGCAAAGAAACACCCGAGATAAATTCATTGTATGTGATCACACACTTGGCCAGTAAAGCTGTGATACAAGGTGAAACATGGGTGAAGCGTATTTTGCAGCGAGGACAGTGTCTCACATTTTATCTTCAATCTACTCTGAAATCACCTGAAAACGGCGTACTGTATTAGGAGAAGCTCAGGCTCAAGAAGAGATGACTAAACTTTCTGCAACAAACAAAAGACCTCGATAAAGTCTCTTCTCTGGAGTTTTTCTTGAGCCCGAGCTTTGCACGCCACGGTGATTATCAGATTAAAATCTAAAGATGAGTGGGATGATCCCCCCATGTGTCATAATCCCAACAACGACTTTGGTTTCATGTCAATCCCAGGCTTACCTGAAGCAGCGACTCCATCCCACAGAGCCCCTAAAAGACAAAAATGGAACTGTGATCAGGAAAATACAAATTTAAAATGCCAGCACAAGCAAGGATTTAAACTGAAATGCTTGTTAGCTCCACAGTGAGCAGCCTGTTTATGAGGTTGTTTACTTGTGATTGAAACTCACTGTGATGCATCTAATAGCCCACTTAGTTATAGTCATGGGGTTCAACTAATCATTAGATAACCTCTCAGTATTAAATTCAACAGCACAACTTTTACCTTCCAAAATGTAAAGGATATTTGTATGAACACCTCTCAAAGCCAATAAAAAACATGTAAAGACTGCTTTACTAACAGTTACAGCTGTGCTAACTTAAGCCCAAGTGTCTGCTGGTTATGCCATTGCATAACCTAAGCTACCTAGCCGCTAGCTAAGTTAAGCTAATGCTAATTAGCTTACCTGTCAGGAGGATCTGGAGGATTCTCAGCATCGTTCCCCTCGTCCTTCCATCAGACGGCCGGGTGCGAAGGGAGCCCGTTGTCGTGGCGGTGGTGGTGCTCACAGCCGCAGAAAGACATCAGTTGCTAGCTTGTGTGCTAGTAAAGAAAAATAATTATAAAAAAAAAAGAGTCCGGCTAGCGGACGCTAACAACAACAACACGGCGGGAGGACGAGCTAACGGCTAAAGCAGCGGTGAGCAGCTGACGGTCAGGGCGCGGCTGGAAGACATCGTCCGGGACGGAGCACACTGCTGGATGAAACGGTGAAGTCCCCGGTGGAAAGAAGCTGCTTTTTACGACGAGTCCCGGCGGCTGTCACGGTAACACGGTGTCCATGCGGCTGTCGGGATGGCTGCATGCCGTCAGTGCCCTGGGTCCGGCGCCGAGCTCTTCTCCCTGCGGCAGACAGAGGTCACCAGAAGCCGCAGCGCTGCATTTAAACCCATTAGCTGCCTCTTGACGGAGGATCGCCCGCTCTGACAGGGGCGGAGCCGCACATCCCAGGGCCCCTCACGGCCACCGTGGACGGTTCACAAGCATGCATTTCATTTATCTAGTGAAAGAACCTCCAAAGAAATAGGAATGACATCTCTGAATATTGGGTGCTTTGTATTATTGGAAGATTAAATACTCAAATATTCAATCTTGAGTTGATCTGCACAATGACCTTGGTGGTCACTACAGTTACACAACAAGATAAAACTTTATTAATCCCAAAGGAAATTATTTTGACAGATATTGCTCTGAAAAAAGGCATTATATTAGAAAAAAAAGGCAGTGTCAAGTAAAGAAAAGCAGTAGGATATACTGAAAAAATAATATTGCGCATGGAAATGAAATGTAACACATGATAAAGAAATATTACACAAGATTGAAATAGTTCATCTGCAAAATGAAATGTTGCACACTACATTGACAATATTTCTCATTTAATCAAAATATTGCACAATAAAATGAAATGTTACACACGATAAGAATATATTACACATTAAATTGGAATATTACACCTAATTTTCCCACTACAGCTATAAAATAAGATAAAGCCCTATTAATCCCAAAGGACATTCTTTTGCTGGATTTTGCTAAAAAATAAATAAATAAATTAAATAACATAAGAAATGCAGTGCCTGGCAGGAAGACAAAAGGACATTGGTAAATAAATTTCTGAAATAAACGCTAAAGTAAGACTAGAATGGGAGTGTAATATTGCACATGGATATAAAATGTTAAATTGAAATATTGCAACTGAAAAAAAATTATTGCACAATATATTAATGTGTTGCACATAAAATTCAAATACTGCACATTGCATGGAAGATATTGCTCATGAAAGTAAAATATTGAACATGTAATAAAAAATGTTGCACATGGAAATAAATTGTTACACAATTAAAATATTGCACTTAAAACTAACTTGGGCTGCAAGGTGGCGCAGTTGGTAGCACTGTTGCCTCGCAGCAAGAAGGTCACCGGTTCGTGTCCCAGTGGGGTTTGCATGTTCTCCCCGTGCAGTGTGGGTTCTCTCCGGGTTCTCCATCTTCCTCCCACACAGTCCAAAAACATGTTGAGGTTAATTGGTGATTCTAAATTGTCTGTAGGTGTGAATGTGAGCGTGCTGGTTGTCTGTCTCTAAGTGTAGCCCTGTGAAGTCCCTTGCCTTCAACCTGAGTCAGCTGGGATAGACTCCAGCCCCCCCGTGACCCCAGTGAGGATTAAGCGGTGTATAGATAATGGATGGATGTTGGTTTTTTTGCTAGATATTGTTCAGAAAAAAATAAAAATGACAACAAATGCCGTGCCTAGTAGAAAAGCAATAACATGTAAACACATTACATGACTGAAATAAAAGCTAAAATAAGACTAGAATAGAAAAGGAAGCAGTAGCGCCCAGTGTTACTGATAATAAGTAATGTCACACATGATAACACAGTACTGCACATGAAAAATGAAATACTGCACACTGCATTGGCAATATGTCTCATGAAAGTAAAATACTGCATGATAAAAAAAAATGTTTCACATGATAATGAAATATTACACATAAACAGAAAAATCAAAAATGACAAAACACAATAAATGCAGTGCCCAGTAGAAAAGCAATAAGACTAGGGAACATTACTGTAATAAAAGGTAAAATAAAACTAGAATAGAACAGTGAAAAGTAATACTGACAGTGATACTGAGGTAACAAGTAATCTCACACATGATAATGAAATATTGCACCATCCATCCATTATCTACACACCGCTTAATCCCCACTAGGGTCATGGGGGGCTGGAGTCTATCCCAGCTGACTCAGGGTGAAGGCAGGTTCACCTGGACAGGTCACCAGTCTATCACAGGGCTACACTTAGAGACAGACAACCAAGCACACTCACATTCACACCTACAGACAATTTAGAATCACCAATTAACCTCAACATGTTTTTGAACTGTGTGGGAGGAAGCTGGAGAACCCGGAGAGAACCCACACTGCACAGGGAGAACATGTAAACTCCACGCAGAAAGATCCTGGGTGTCCTCACTGGGAAGTGAACTGGCGACCTTCTTGCTGGCAATGATGCTAACCACTGCTCCACCTTGCAGCAATATTGCATCAGAAAAACGAAATATTGCACATTGCATTGACAATGTTGCCAATGAAAGTGAAATATTGCATATCATGTAATCAAAATATTGCACCTGACACATTAAATATTGCAAAGAACATTGAAAATGTTGCACATGAAAAAATGCTAGTATGCAAACAATATTGAACATGAAATGGGGCTCATGATAAGGAAATAATGCAAATTAAATTGACAACGTTGTCAGTAAAAGTGAAATGTTGCACATGTAATCAAAATATCGCACATTGAAATGAAATATTACACATGGAAATCAAATATAACAACTGAAAAATAATATACTGCACATTTCACTGACAGCTTTGCACAAGGAATAAAAAAATACTGCACATGATAATGAAATGTTACACATGATAATGACATGTCGTACATGAAATCAAACATGAACATCTGTTGCTCTCTGCAGCAGAATGGACGTCATGAAACAAATATGCAACATATTGGAAACTATAATGGATAGAAACCCCCCGGTCGGTAAGAAGTCACACATCTGCAGTCTACAGAGTTAATGAGATTGTGGATTCAATTTTTCCCAAAGGGCTGAGTGAAGCTGAAGGACGTTTTGGGAAACAGGACCACGGTGTCAGGCCATCACATTGTGCAGATTGTCTGTCACACCGTGCTGTCTGAAAGGATTTCTTAGACAGCAAATGGGGAGGTTGTGGACAGTTAAGTGCCTGACTGTGACCCTAACTGACACGGCAGCATCCATCAGTTTGTTCTCGTCTTTCTCTCGTCATCTGTGGCACGTGTCATTTGAATACAGCTGCATTTTAAGGCAGACATTTCTCGTCCCTGGTTGAACCTCAGCCTACCAGAGTGTGATTTACTCAGTGGTTGAGAATTTGTCACCAGTTGAACAGCTCAAGAACTCTGCTACGTCACTGATGGTGATTTCTGTTCTCTGTTTTATGAATAACCCTGGACTAAGTTATTATTTTAATATATTTTTTTAAACAAAAGTCTGAATAATTAAAAATAGCTCTGCATCTATTTGTCTGTAATTCTGATTTTGCACTTCAGCCTTCAATAATAATATGATAAAGGTGATTAAAAACACTTGTTTGATAAAATTCTGTCACGTCGTTTTGTTTCTTTTTTTAAATTTCTGATGGAGATTTCTCTTTTCAACGGTCTTACAGCAGGATATTTGCAGCAGTGACATTATTTTGTGTATGAAAATACACAAAATACATAGTTACAGGCAGTCAAGTAGCCATAACAGTTTATTGTTTTATTCCACGCTGTTGTGGTTACTTATGATGAGGCTAAACACGGATAGAATTTCCAGTGTGATTTGTCAGCAACACAGACAACAGATTTAATTTGAATAACATTAGTTATATATTTGCGGTACTGTGGTTTAGTACTTTTTCTGCTTACCAGCACCTGCATCTCTTCTCCTGAAGCAATAATAGCAGTAAAGGATGGTTAGTCAAATTCCAAATAAATAAAATGTATGAAAACAAGCACTTCCAAGGCCCATCTTTTCATACGATTACAGCTGTAAATCATATAGTTTAGACTAATTCCAAGGCACACAATTAGAGACCCACTGCTCTAGCTGCCTGCACTCACTGTGATGTTATTGTGCAACATAGAAAGAAAGTAGAAGGACTTTTCTGTTCATTTCACTGTGAATTTTTTTTTTTTTTAAATGGTGCAATTATCATCATTACTAATGATGTTTCATTAGGTCTTCAATATGTTAATTAAACCTGATTTCAATCCAAGTGA